AACATGACTGTCAACCGTTTTCGATTGTTTTTAGTGGAGAATCAAACTGCAATAAAGATGATAATGAAAAAAATAAGAGAGGAACTAAGTGCTCTAATGAGAGCATTGTTGAGTACTACTCATTCGCTCGATTCACACCAGAATTGCAACAAAATCTCAAGAATTTATTCAACGCCGAATGGAACATTCAAAAAACCGTTATTATTGTATCATTTCATCGGTTACATCAACCAAATTACCCGTGTGATAGTTTCGAATAATTACAGCAGCTCATTACATGAAATCAAATTATTTTGTTCGTTACACGTACTTGTTATTCTGCTATATAAGACGGGATATATCTGCTCATGAATCAAGTCAGAATTAAATCATCATTCTTCAAATCTTCTCTCATCTTATATCAGTCTAAAGTTCTGTTGATTCGGTTATTATTTCTGACTGTCAATTCGATTAATATGATGAGATTTTCATTTAGATTCTTTGTGATTTTATTAACAATTCGTAATTTTCAGCTGTATTTTTGCTATATAACGTTCCATTTACCATGATTTGCTTATCAGTTTCAAATCACTGAATATGGGAATTATTAGCGGATCTTTTTGAAAAACTAGGCATCATTTGCATCATTCAAACAGAGAATTTTCAATGCTCCCAGTTAAGAGCCTATCTTTCTTATGCTGATCTTGGTTCGTGAAGAAATATCTTTGAACTCGTATGTCGTTGACTGATATACTGATTGCAAGATGTTAGTTTGTATTCACGGAATGTATTCATGTCAGTTTGAGTCAATTTGTAACATATATTCGAGAAATGATTCTCACATGCAGATTAATGGTGACTTTGAATGTGTGCATGATAGACCTAGATCACATCGTGCATCGGAACTGCAAAAAACATATCTTTCCGGGAAAAGCAATTAATAGAATAATAAAATTTTGGCAATTAAAGCGAATTTGACATTATCTTAAAGGGCCATTTCTTTCATCGTCAATTTACCTCCGCCATAACCACCAAATGTTATGGTTTCAGAGGAGTGCCACACGAGTCGACTCCAGAAAAAAAAGCAATGAGAATGCGGAACCATTGCTAAAAACATAAAGAACATTAACCATGGCACAATTTAGTTGATGGTGATCAGTCCGCGATCATTCCTATATAAATTGCTCAGCCATGTGCCCATCGAATCATTTCAAAAATTATTTCGATTTCAAAAAGTGCTCCACTCTTGAATTGCGGTGAACCTCGTGGTGACTGTCGTCGGAGTCCACGAAAGTGCTTCAGTCACTCGTCACAAAACCATTCTCACTTATTTGACGTACTAAGATTATANTAAATTTCATCTTTTAAGGCAATTGCATACTTGAATTCCATCTACATTCCGCCACCTATTACACCTCACACCTTTTTGAGCGATTTTTTGTTGTTGTTGTTAATGTAATGAAACTGTTGAAAGTTGTGTGCGCATAAATTAGTCAAGTTGAACACACGACGAAGAGATTCATTCGTCTTTAATGGAACTAATAATACGAATAATACACATTTTCCTACACACTTAAATGAATTCAGTCGTTCCTCCATTAATTGTGCTGGAATCTGCATGCGCTCATATGTCGTCGTCTTTTCCTCAATCATACCGCAATCATATCACAATAATTCTTTCTTTCATGCTTTGAATCAGTTTGATGTGTTCTAGACGTAACTTCATTCTAGATACCAAATTCAATTTCAATTCAACGTCTACTAACAGGATAGCATAAAAATGACATTAGTTTTGCATCAATCCAATATCACTGGTGATCAAATGTGGAATGAGATGCGATCATGAGTTGTTATAGCATACTGAGAACGCGGAGATTGGTATCACCGTGCTATCAGTAACTAGCGAAAGTTAACGAATGAACAGAATATCTATTTCGTCAAATAGCGAAAGTCAACAAACAACCTAATTCGCTAA